CGTTTCTGCCACCCACACATCTCCCCTTACTAAGACCCTCCCCACCCCTCCTGACAAGCTCTGCCCAATACATTAGGCCAGAACCCCTGAGTAGAGCAGCAGCACAGAGTATGTGGCAAATGTTTATACTATTATTCTGCATTGCTCTATGTTTTGCTGGGATTTGTAGTCCTCTATAGCTAATGGTATTATTCTGCAAGGCTGTATAATATATTGATAGGATTTCTAGTGCTCTATAGCTGGTGGTATTCTGCATTGCTGTATAATGTATTGCTGGGATTTGTAGTCCTCTATCGCTATAGGTGATTATTTACACAGCTCTGGTATTTGCTGAAATTGAAAAGCTTTTGAGAGTTTTCCTCTTTCTCAAGTCTGAAGCAATACCTGAGGAAGAAAGAAAAACTCTTGAAAGCTTGTCTTCTAAGTATTAGGTTAGTACAATAAAAAGTTATCACTGCATACCGCATTACTCTCGTATTTTGTAATCATATTTATATATACTTTAGTTTTTTTCAGTGGTATGATTTAGTGGTGAAAATTATTAGTGCCCCCCTCTCCCCCCCATTTTGACTGTGGTATCTTATGTGCCCCCCCTATATATTGTTCCTAGAGTCGCCACTGGAAGCACCTATCGCCTTGTCATGGGAGTGAGTCCCATGCTTGGAAGTGGCGAGTAATTTACAGAGCTCTAGTGGATAACCAGAGTGGAAGTGTGAGCCAGAAGGCTCGTTATTGTCAGCATAAGGGGACTAGGAGGCCATCAAGTAAACCCGTTACCCCACCATGAATTAATTACTTATCCACCACCCACAAACCTAAGTCTTCTGAATTGAGGTGCTTACAGACCTCAGCCTCCCAAAAATCTAGGTTTCCCATCAGGGAATGTTCCAAGAAATGCAGAGACAAATTCAGGCAGCTATCCAGGACGTTTCTAGAAAAGGAGATGTTCTAAGTAAAACTCCACTTAAAATACCAAAACCGGCTATTACATTATGCTCCTCAAGCTTCCTGCTGAGTGGGTAAGTCTGGCTGCTACAGTCACTGGATCATTTCCAATCATGACAAGAAAACAGAAAAGGGCCTTTCCCAAACTGTCGCTACAAGTTTGGAAGCTTACAATTGTCTAAAATGTATTTAAATGCTCTAACATTAATAGTACCCTTCAATGTTAACATCTAAACTCAGAAGCTTGGAGGGCCATGTGATGTTAATGAGGTCTAGGCACCCCAAAGCTAATGAGGAAAACCTTTCAGTTTGTTGTAATTTATCAGTTCTGGGTATGGTTAACCCAGATACAGACTAAACATACATGTTTTCTTTTTTTTGTTAGAGGGCCTTCAAAAAGCCTTCATATTCCACAGTAAATGCTAACAGCACCAGAGTTGTTTATTCAGCCCTGGCGTTTATGGTCATAGTCGTAATCTCTTACGACTGATGACAGCCACAACACTTGACAGATCCCAGTCAATACACATAGATGGCCTGGACTGATAAAGGGCCAGATGACCATTAACTAGAGGCCAGAGATACACATTACCCCTTCTGAGGAAGGCATATACCACAGGTATATCAAGTCTGGTTTCTATACAAAGCTAATTTCATAACTCACAATGATCTGTGGTTTATCAGGTGGTAGCATGTGAGTGCATAAAAATATATCTGCGTTTGTTAAAAACTTCAGCCCTCCGGTCTGAGCCCACCCACCTTTCCTTTTGGGTGGGGGGCTGGCTCAGTGACACCCTCTAGAGGGCCCACAAAAAGGTGCTGCAGAAGGCAGCAACAGCTCTCGTTTACCATCAAGAAAAGAACATCTGCCAAAAGACTGTTTCAAGAGAGCCAATCCCAGATCCATTTTCTGCTTCATTGACTGAAACCCATAGAACCCAGGACTTTGCCAAATACTTTCATTCTTATTCCTTTATTAGGCAGGGTAGATGCACTTTAAATAGTTTTCCCAAGTCAAACTACAAATGAAAACAGAGGCTCCCCTATGGTCCCAACAACAAACCACCACAACGCCTCTTTTTCTCAGCAATAAGGAGGAGGAACCTAGTAGGTAATCACTCTCATTCAGATATTGTCATTAATTCACATTTTACATCCTACTTGAAGGAGTTACCTAGAAGGTAATTATTTATTATGGGTTCAGATTGATGTTACAAAATAAATTTACTTGGGACATACCTTTAAGAAACAACACTGAGATTTAAACTTGAGAAGATAAAACAAGTTCATTGAGAATATTTCCTGTGGTAGATGGAGCAAAGGACACTGAATGGGCAATATGTAAAAAGTTCTAAAAGACGACAGGAGCGTAAACTTCATTATAAAAGGCTTGTCTCCCTTTATTAGACTTTTTAAAATTGCAGTACAAAACATAGCAACATGGTGATAATATGTACAACTATTTACTCACATGCTCACTCATGCAACACGTTTTATTCAATAAGCTAGTGCAAAGAGATATGTGGCTAAAGTAAAGCTCAATTAGAGGAAGGGATGCTCTTATACCCTTCTCTATCTCCAGAGTTATCTTCAATCACGGGTGGAAATTTTGCAAGTGTTACTCCAAAAGGGCCCAGATGGACAAGGGGGTCTTCAGGGTACTACAAGGGAAGTTTTATTAATTTGCTAGGCCAGAAGAGGAGCCTTCTTTCTCCTGATGATCATCTGTACCTATCGGCTGGTTGAGTGCACCTGCTAAGGCTGTTTAAAAAGCACCTCTAGAGTAAATATGCTGTAAACTTGGTGGCTAAATGAGGTAGGCACTGTCCTTATTTTCCGTAATAAAGGTTTGAAATATGTCGATGTTAAGTTCCAGCTCAGATGCTGTTCAAAGAGGACCTAAACCCTGGAAGCTGTGGACCAAAAGAGGCAGGCAGAGCACTAACTAGTACTTCTCGTGGTCTCCCTGCAGCTAAAGATATCCCCAGGGCTGACTTAACATGCCTGTGTTTCTCTCTGTAGGTGGCCATCTTAGTAGAGGCAGGACTTTCATTCCTCATGTTACAGCTGCTACCCTGAAGAATGGTGATCTTATCGCCGATGGAGAAGAAATCAAGCAGCAGCAGGAGAGGTTGAGAAAGCACAGATCAACAGAATGAATGATGTAGAAGTAGAGAGATTCTTACACTGTAGCTTTCTCTCCAGCAAGAACATTGAGAAGCACAGTAGAGACATCACCAAATCTCACTCCAAATCTCCTGTGTGCGAGCAACAGAGACAGCAGTGCCTTTGATCTCATACTGCACATATACATCTATGAGACTCAATTGCACTATTTTAGGAGGAATTTCAGACAAAAGTCACATTTTCTGGGTATCGCCTAGGCACAATTAACATTTCTAGATGTTCCCTGTAACATGGTCAATCTTTACTATTTGAGTTCAGGTCGACTTTAAGCTCTGCCTACCTGTACTAATTAAAGTGAGTCTATCACAGACACCCCATAACCACCACAAATGAGCCTCCACATACCTGTTTTGTGCAAAACTGTTCCTGAGTACTCCGGGACAACCAAACCCAGGCTCACTTATTGCATTCTCCCCAGCTCTAGTATCCCCAAATATTATGCGGCCATTAGAGGGTCATCTGCAGAATTCAGCGATGGATCAAAGCCTGGAGTTGGAGCTATAACTGAGGAGATTGTAAAGAATGAGCCAGGTTTGGTGGCATCCTTGATATCCACATATAGTTTTTGCACCTAACAAAAGCTCCACCTCTTCAAGCCTGCATTTTTAGGGTCTTATATTTTTTTTTGCATATGGTTAGATCTTACCTAACATTCCCACAGCCTGTTCTTACTGCACTGGTAAGGTAGCTGTCAAAAAAGACTAGTATATGTTTCATGGGCCAGTGTCATGTGCTTTTGTTCTCTTCAGAGCAGGTCTATGAGAATGCAAAAGCAGCCTGAAGCAGGCCAAATGCAGATCAACTGCATCTGCAATTCATTTTGAATGACTACAGAAACACTTCAAATGAATGTCAGAATCAAGTTGCATTTGCCCTCTGAAGCCCATCAACACAGACCCCAAAAGAGATACTGAAATATACTAAACTTCCATCACTGCAAGATTCGAATACAATGCCTACCTCCCCAGTATTCTCCCTCCTCATTTTTGTTAGCTTAGATACAGGTACTGTGACATGGAATTGGGTCCACTGGTGTGGGGAAGTGCTGGGATTCGAAGGCAAAGGAGGCAGCTATACCTTTAGGCACAACAAACTGTATCACCCCTTTAGGTGCTTAATAGACTTTGGAAAGATGGCGCCATAAATGGGGGTAAGGTCAAGCATGATGGAAAAAGGATGTAATTTGAATTGTCAATAATGTCAATACCAGGCTTTGTGCAAGCTCAGATCGCCAAGCAGTTCGCAATGCATTGCATTTAGACTTTTAGTTCCTGATTGGCTGCTACAACGTCCTGACATGAGGTTATTAAATACATTTTCTCAACACCTGATCATTTATAGTATGTCTCTCTAGTGAGCTCCAGATATGCAGTCACTCTCAACTCAAAGTATGCTTAAACATCTCTGATTGACACTGCATTTAGAATGGTTGTGCTGCATTCAATGCACTGTGCCTATCATCATAATCAATACTTAAATCAATGACATTGCATGTCAGTAGCCTATGGTATTCAGCAAGTCTAACTCAATCTCTTATTACCTTTTGCATCGTGTTTGACATAGACATTATAAAAAGCTATGAATATTTTCTTCAAGGATATTTTCTCCTTTTCTCAATACATACACAAACCAACACACTAATTGACTTGCTCCTTTTCTGCTTAAATTACATACATTCTCTTACTTGATTTCTATGTACAATATACAGTATACATTGAAGACTTTCACTCCTGGACGAGCTTACTGTCACTTTAATACCATTGTCCATTCCGATTTACCATCAGGGCCTATTAAACAATCCTTGGCCACTGGAACACAGATGATTAATGTGCGGGTAGAGGCTATATCTCCTGAGTCTGTTATCCAGCATAAAGTGCAGTTCTTGTGCCCAGAGTGTCTCTCCTAAAAGTCTTTGCATGCTACACCATGCCTGTTTATGTGGGTGGAGGTCCATTAACGTAGGTGAGCATCAAAGTCCAGGAAAATCGCTGTAAAGGACATCTTGTATGACTTAATGGAAAGATGAGTAGTGATCCACACAGGAGGAGGAACACGAGGGATAAAAGGGTCAAACACTTGATTGAAAGCCAAAGGGGACCCGCACATCGATAGGAGGATTTGTAGGACTTCAACTTGGTCATGTCATCTCTGAAAAAACAAGACGAAACCCAGAGATTAAACAGACAAGCATATCACTACAATCACTGTTATTAGTGCCTTAATTCTTAATTAGAAGTAAAATAAAGGAAGTATTAGGAGCAGGGTTAGAGTGCAGTGTTTATCAAAAATCAAGCAATCTAGACCTGCCAGGATCAGAAGCAGATCATCCACAAAACAACCTAAAAAGGAGTCAGTGTCCAGGGAACTCAACAACAATCTCCATACTCTTTCAGTAAACAAGGACACAGTGAAGATGAAAAAGGCTAGATGCCTGTCTGTCACTTCACAATGGAGGACGCACTTGTAGGCAGTTGGTGACTGAATAGGCGAGCCACGACAATAAAACTGGGGTGTCCCATCTAAGCCTTCTGCAATCCTTGTCAATGTTATGAAATGGGTTAGGACAATGAGACTGAGGGCAAACTATCTGCTCAAGATGGAGTATTTTTCAAAAGTGTGGGGTCATGGGGAGGTCCAGGCGATGTGCTACCCGAAGCTTTGTCCTCTGACTTTCCTAATAAAAATTCTTGTTCAGAAGGTACTGATGTCAGTCAGCAAAACAGCCAAGTAACTGAAATTTTAGGAAGGAGGCAGCTCCAATATATTTATTGGAAAGTGATTCTTATGTGTACCCTAAATCAATTTATATAGTGCTGAAAATTTACACAGCGCTTTACATACTGTACATTCACATCAGTCCCTCAAGGAGCTTACAATCTAAGGTCCCTATCTTACATGCATACAAACACATAATAGTGCCAATCCAAACAGGAGCCAATTAACCAACCAGCATTTCTTTGGAGTGTGGCAGGAAACTACAGTACCTTGTGGAAACCTACCCAAATGCACGGAACTTCTTGCACAGCGTCACAGAGAAACACAAGCACACAGTCTGATATGCATGCTGCACATGGCTTGGAAAACAGGAAGGAAGCCACAGTTTTATTCTCTACCTTATTCAATACAACAGAGTATATACCATAGATATATACCAGAACTTATAAACACTGCCATCTACTGACCAAAAATTGTATACTGCAGGAGTTGTTGCAATGGATACAATAATGTGTATTCTAACAATACTCCATGCAGATAATGCCCTGGCTGGAATTCAAACTAATGTCCCCAGTGCTGCAAGGCAGAAGTGCTAACCACTATGCCACTGTGCTGCCTGACTGTTCTGGATGTTATACAATACAATGATATGTGGATTTAAGTTCTCCTTTCATGCTAAACGTTTATCCAACATTTTTTGTTATTTTCTGAAACATTTCACAGCATAATGTCATCATGAGCAATTAAACTACAATGAATGGCCTTCTCACCCAGTATCCATGAGAATTGACACATCTGGCCTTGCAGGCTGAGGCTTCCTTTTAACCTCCTGTGATAAAAAACAAACAGAATAAAAAAAAAAAAAAAAAAAGCAACCAGCTAGTAATACCTGTTGTCTATGTCTAGTACATTATATCCCGGATTTACTGCTATCTTGGGCTTTGTTAGAGAGATATAAAGAAAGGGAACCTATAATAGTTCTTGATCAGTTTTAATCAATTGGTCCATAACTACAAAGGATAGCATTACAGGCCAACAGTAAAGTGGGGAAGCAGAAAGGACGGACCGTTTCTTGATCATGGCAAGTATAGAAATCTGCATATTATGTGACCATTCCTATGTAACCCATAATTATTAAATATGCCACGTACCTGTATCTGATTCACCTTCTTTTTCTTCCCCGGTCTTCTCCTCTGCCCAGGGACATTGTGCTGTATGCGGCTGTCAGTCACTTGGGTATTAGAAGCAACTGGTGCTCCCAGATCCGGCATAGTGCAGTCATATCTAGGTGCATGCTGGAGAATATCTATCTTGTGTCCCGAATCCAGTGTGTCTACAGGGAAAGAGATGCTAGCATAAGGATGGATCATCAATTTATTATGGTGACTTGGAGCGGTCATTTTATAAAACTCTACTTTGATTTATTAGGGATATCAATGAGCTAGTGCTGTACACAGGTAAAAGGTAATTATTATTCAAATAAAAAAATATATAAATTATACTCCACACATAGGGGCCTACTTATCTCTAAAGGAGAATACAAAATATCAATATACAATTTCTTTACTCTTGACAGGCAAACAGACCTCTGCTGTGTGTTCTTTGGGAAACACCCGGCACATCTGGAGATGGAGGCACACGTGACTCTCTACCCAGCCTCCTGCAATCAGTGCCTCAGTGGCCAATCACCAGGCCCGACAGCTGTAATGTGGGCATATCTCCCAACTGTCCCTCATTTGGAACCAAATTCCCATGTCTCTCTTTCATCCTCAGTTGTTCCTCTTTTTGACCCTGACCCCTGACGAAGTCACATGAGACGTCATGCGCGTAGGGTGGAGTTAGCGGTGTCAGTTCCCCAGCTGAGCCGGAAGAACGGGAGGATCCTTTACTCCTGCTTCGTTTCTGTGGGCACCTTTATTGGGATTGTCTGTTTTGCCTATTACCAACGTTTTTATGTGAGTACACTTTATTCAATACAATTCCCCTTTGCTGGATAGTACGCGCTATGTGTTTTCGCTTGTCTCTTTCCGGGTTTACATTTATCTACGTGTGCCTGCCCTGAGTGGAACCAGAGTTACCGTGATAGGGGTGTCCCTCCCCTTAAGAAGGGAACTGCGTTTAGAGACCCATTTTACAGGTGGATATCTCAGCTGAGCAAAACAGAAAAAATGTTCACCAGCACTCCAAGTTTTCTTCAAAACGAAATCCTTTTATGTATTCTTGCAGGTCATATCACCATGCGTGGCAACGTTTCGGAACCTGTCTGATCCCTTCATCAGCCTGATATATAGGAAACTGTCAGGTGGTTTAACTCTTTATTCAACAAAGCCTGAAATGCCAGTTTTGGGTGGACGGGCCCTTTAAAACTGTTAATACTCAATTCACAAAGTTTTAACACAAGGTTAGGATTTATATTTCCAGCCATATGACTGCAATCTTCAAATCTCATTGGGCTCAGCTGAAAACAACTGTCACTTCAAGTGATATTAAAGTCAAAGGGTTTAAATCTATTTTAAATGCTGATGAAATTACTTACATTGAATGCTGCTCCTTGATATTTAAAAGTTTTATCTTCATGCGGAATCATCTGGTCCCCTGAGCACTGGCCCTGATATCCTGCTTTAGGGTGGCTCCTTTCCCCTGCAGGGTCCTATGGAGCTACCCTTCTGTGTGCTAGTAATCTGGATGTGTCTCCACAAACAAGCACAGCAAGGCAAGAAACTTCCTGCTCCACCCCCACCCCCTTCCCTCCCCCTAAGCTAGTAGATGGACAATTGCTGCAGACTGCTCCGTCCCATGTGATCTTGTACTGGACAGGGAGTTCAGGGAAGTCTAGCTAAGAGAGTTGCAGCTGCTCTGAAACATGATGACTATAAGTGCTTAGGCAAAAATGTAAAGAAATACTTTGCTGGGCAGTGTATGTTTGTTTGATCTGTATTCAACATTGAGAAAAAGTTTAAGAGTTTCATGCGACTTTAACATGGATCCTTATGAAGTGTTAACTTAGTGAACGGAATCTATAATATTAAAGTGGATCAAAGCTGTCCACCATCACTACCCTTCTCACCCCATTGTCTTCTAGGTCGCATGTCGCTCATCTCTGCCCATTGGGAGTTTGCTTCTGATGTAACTCCTGCGTATGCAGAGGAATAACATCTTGCGCGGGACCCAGCTGCATTCCCATCATATTACAGCTGCCAAGGATGAGCCTGCATGGGATGGACTGCACATGCACATTGCTGGGAGGAAGAGGGCTTTCTTCCTTTTTTTTTAGCAGAAGAGACAAGCAAAGTCTCTTATAAAAAAAAAAACCCCATAAAACTATCTGCTAGCAATAAAGTTCAGCTTTAAATGAATGGTGTCCCTTTGACACAGCAGTACAAGGACACAAATCACATACATTGCCGGTTAACTGATATCATTGATTCACATGAAAATGATTTCCCAGATTCTACTGCAGGAGAGGAAACAGACTCAGCCAAGGCTCCCGCAGGAAGATAAATCTGCTAAATCATCATACGCGCCACCACTGAGTTCTTTCCCAGAATTCCGGCTTACTGTAAATGTTTGGCTGGTACTGCAGCATCTGGAGCCTTTCCAACTTCCATCCAGGCCAATAATATGTCTTCCTCTTAATGCAATAACGGATCTGGTAAATTAACACTGCTAAAGGGAGTCACTGGGCTAATCTGTCTATTTAGTAAATACATAAAAATAGACACTTAAAGCCCAATTGACGTTGTAGAAATAAATATGTGGTCAGATAGACATTTATTTTCTTAGTCCCACTTTCCTGTTACAGCGGTTCTGCAGAGTGTCTAAATATCATTGTGCTTTTCTTTGGGCCCCAGAGTTAGACCCGGTGCACTCAGTACCAGACCCTGTCCAGCACACCACTCCACCCTTCCTCCGCTATACAATGGTCTGCGAGAGGACACTTGTGATGAAGGGTGTGGCACTTATTCAGCTCCCAGCATAAAGCACTGGAGTGTGAGATCGGGAAACAGCATTTTACAATGAGAAAAAAAAGGTACTTGATATAACAAATCAGCCACAAACTATAACATGTGGAGGTACAGGATTATAAATAGACTAAAAGTGACCTCAAAGGGGTGTTAAAAAGAGGGCATCTAGTGGTACCCGGGCAGGACTTTTTTTATTTTGCAGAATACTTTGGTAGCCCCATCTCTGGTTTCTCTGATCATCTCTAACCATTCCAGAATTTCATATCACTGGCAACGCATGAGTACACCAACTTTGGAAAGGGGATTCAGTATTTGCATACTGAACGCCCTAGATATTGGGACTTCCAGGACCCTCTGGAACCCTGGTGGCCAACATGGTTGAGGGCCACATGAAGCTCTTTGGTACTTGCTGAGTGGCCCTTTGCAGACCCCAGCCATGGAAGTGAGAGCATTGATTTGCCAAGAGGTTTTCATGTCAGTGATATCTATTAGTCTAACATAACACACCCACAGTGTCTGACTGTCTTCCTGGCAGGTTTCCAGTCTCCAACAACACCTGTAGTCTTTTATAATCTCTTGTAGTGTGTCTGCAGTCTCTGCCCATCATCTGTAGTAAGTAGACATGTGCACTGCAAAAAAATTTGTTTAGTTTCGTTTCGTTTTAAATTCGGATTTGTGTTATTTCGTTTTTCAGGATTCGGGTGTGAAAGTCAATTCGGATTCGGACGAAATTCGGTAGCGGTAGGGCGAACGTTCGTTTCGTTTTCTGTTCTTATTCGTTTCGTTCGTTCGTGACATTTGAGGGGGAAAAAATATTTTTCTCCTTCTCTAATGTCACTTTGCTCCAACGAACGAAACGAATAAGAAACGAATAAGAAACGAATAAGAACAGAAAATTAAACGAACGTTCGAACTACCGCTACCGAATTTCGCAAATGGAAATTCGGATTCGTTTGCATTCGTTATGTCTGTAATTCGGAATTCGGATACATCCAAATGTCCGAATTTCCGAAAATTCGTCCGAATTTCGACTCGGAACGAAACGAATCGCACATGTCTAGTAGTAAGTCTGTAGTCTCTGCTCATCATTTGTAGTATGTCTGCAGTCTCTGCCCATCATCTGTAGTATTATTTATTTATTAAAGGTATTTATATAGCACTGACAATTTTCACAGCACTTTTACATCGTTGCAGATTCACATCAGTTCCTGTCCTTAAGGAGCTTACAATCTAAGGTTCCTATCTCACATGCATACATCAGGGCAGATTTAAATCTGAGCCAATTAACCTTCCAGCATGACTTTGGAGTGTGGGAGGAAACGAGAGTACCCGGAGGAAACCCATGCAAGCACAGGGAGTACATGCAAACTCCATGGAGATAGTGTCCAATCTGCAACCAGGGACCCCCAGTGCTGCAGGGCAGAAGTACTAACCACTACGTCACTGTGCTGCCCATAACAGTCTTCTGTAGAATTACATATACTGAATATTATGGGTGTCCCCATTGTGCCCCATGGTTCGTAGTGGAGGCCTCCAATATCTCATTAGTTGATAACTACTATCTTTAAATGGTGCATATATTGGGGGAAATGGGTGTGGTTACGGGGGCGTGGCCACTAAAGGGTGTGGCCACTGAGGGGCGCTGTAAAGCTTTCTCGCACAGGGCGCCTAAAGGCCTAAGGCCGGCCCTGCATGTGCTCAGTCTGAATTGGTCAGATTTATGTCAGATTTATATTGAGGCCGTGCCTAATTACTAGATTGCATGTTCTAAACTGTTCGTTTGATGCTTGTATGATAGGATTTGTAATTCTTACCACATAAAACAACTTCTAATCGTCCTGGTTCCAAGCCTGGCATATCATTGCACAAAACCTACAAGGGTTAAAATATCATAGTATATAGTTATAAGACTGTAGACACACAGTACAAATAAACATGCATAAAGTGGAAGGACAAGGGTGTGCAGTCACAGTACATGGGAGCCAGTAGACCAGAAATAATTTACAGTAAGATGTGCTGAATTTGAAGAGCTGGGGATATATTTAAAACTAAACCCAAGAACCAAGAACAAAAGTGTAATATGTTGCAGCTTAAAGCCCATTGCCATCTTTGTGGGGGTATTTAAAAAAAAACATATGCCAGCAATGTACAACGAGTCTACATGAAGCAGACATATACATTTGATGTATATGAACACAGAAACTTACATTTTTTGTTAGTTTTCCTCTTCATATCCTCAATGTTTACTGATCATGCTACAATGGATGACAGGGAGGGGGTCAGCTGATTACAGTCTGATACCCCGGTGTCAGACTGCATTTACTTTAGAGAAACATTAGAATTTTTAGGCTTTAGGCCTAATAAAACCTTCATAAAAAACGAAGAAAGCCTGCAATGTGAGTCATGGAAATGTGCACATGTATACATCATCACTGCACCTCTTCATCACCACAATAAATGCTAATCACTTACAAAGGTGGAAATGGACTTTGACAGTCCTTACATGTGGTGACTGCATTACTTTTCTTTAGTCGGGCTAAGAACATTTTCAGCATGTTCCTGTGAGCTACAAAGTCAGAAAAAACTATCTTTTCTTCTGTAGGTGATCAATCTCATCAACCACCATTTAGTGGAGATGAACAAAGGCAGACATGCCTAAAGTCCAGCCTGGGTGTTAACCATGGCTGCCTCCATAGATGCAGCGGAGGAGTGAGCATAGCCACCCAGGGGTAGGAAGTGTTATTCGCCAATACAGATGCCAATAAAGAAAAAAAACCTACAAAAATACAAAGACAATGAATGCAGCCACCTCGCCTAAAGTGTCAACATATTAAATTTTTGGTTTTGGATCTTAGATACGCTTTAAGTGCACAAGATCACTAAAAATGTCAATGTCAAGGCTGAAGTTTACAATGCTTGCCTATCTTTATTTGTAAAATTCATATTGGGACAAAGTGACACCATGTCAGCATTTTTTTATTACACCCGGCAGTAATGTACATTTTTAAAGTTTTTATTACATTGCCTAAGTGTCCCTTTAGCTCATTTCGGTCACTCAATGGATAATTCAAACAGAGTTTGGCAGTTCTTGGCCAAAGTTACAGACAGTGCAAAGACCAAATGATAAGTGTAATGATAAGGATGTAGAAAAAACAACAGAAACTGAGATACAGATAAGCGGTAGTCAAGTGAGATAAGAAAGGAGCATAAAGAGGAAAATGATCTGTATTTACCCGGCTATCTACTGTTTGCACTTGGATGTCGATCACAGTTCTTCGGAATCCCTCTGAGATAACATTGCCTCTTGGTACAGTGGAGGAAGGAAAATCTTCTTCCACTGGGAACAGGTCCTCATGGCTCCTGTGTTTGGAATTAGTGACCCCGGAGTCAGTACTGACACTACTCTCGGTGCATTTATTTCTCCGTAATATCTTTCGAGGGGCTGTTGGGTGTAACAATAAAGTGTGTTACTCTTCATAGACAGATTTTGTCAGCCCTTATCAAAAAGTTATATTTTAAGTTTGAGTACATAGTAATGGATTTACAGGGTTATTCACAAAAAGGTGAAGAGTTTGGGGAAGGCAGGAGAAGGGAACAATCTAGGACAACATAGCTGATTTTGGAAAAATTCTCCAATTCAGCTCACTTTCCAGCTCAGCTATGTTGTCCCAGATTGTTCACTTCTCCTGCCTTCTCTAAACTCTTCACCCTTTTGTGAATAAAACTGTTAACCACCCACAGGGTTCTTATTAAGGATGAGTAAGCAAAACTGACAGAGTCAGCTTTGCCAAGATTTCCGTTATGTCAGTGAAAAATTGCCCCATACATTAGAGTTAATGGAAAAAGTGAAATTACAAAGTTTAAGGTAGTTGTTAAGGATGCAATGGTCTTTAAGAGTGTTTTTCTTTGTGGTTCAAAGCTGACCATACACCAAATTTAGTTGGAAAAAATTATATTCGGAACATTTGTTAAATTTTCTAATAATTAATAGGGTCAAATTGTGTTGGAAATACAACAGCATATACTAATATAGTTATGAAATTTGTCTTTTGAGCTTTAGATGGCGCTGTAGTGTAATGTTAGTCTCTAGGTGCATGCTGCACAATGCTGTATACATACATGTAATCTTCTTCTAAGCAAGTAAAACGTAATTCAGCATTCCTCAAGATCTCAGTGATTCATCTAGACACATAACCAACAAATTAATGATTGATTTCAACCGCAGTGACAAAAAAAATCAAAGGAGAGAGATGGATTTTTCTCGAACGAATTAAATTCTAACAGTAAATGTGGTTTTCCCTCGTGAAACTCCATTGATTCCAAAATCAAATGTTAAAACCAGATAAAAGATTGAATGATATTCACCAAGTCCATGATGGTATTATTGCATTGTTTGAAGATATTTATTTGCCTAAATGTTCATATGAAAGTCTACATGTATGGCCAGCTACTGTATTTTTTTTGTCTGTTTGTTTGTTTATTTTTTGGTGTATTTTATCTTTTAAATGTGTTTTTTACACTAAGAAAAAAAAGACATAATAAGAAAATTAATGTCAAGAGACAGCACACAAGAACATATACTGTATGTGTTTTTTTTCTATCTTTGTATATTTCACTTCTATTGGGTGTTTTTAACATATAAACTACGGGGAAAAAAAGGGAAAGGGGAAAAAACACAAATATATTTCTGTGTTCTTTCTCTATAAATTCTATGCGCTTTTTTCCACCTTTTTTACCCACGGTATAAAAAAAGCCCAAATACTAACAAAATACACATAAAACACAAGGGCAAGTATGTAGACGTTTTTAAAATAAATAGATAAAATTAACCCTTATACCCTACTAATAACCTTTTGACATAGTTTTGTTGAATATGAATTCAGTGATTTAGCTATAACGGCAAGTTTGCTGAAATTTGCTGCACATGCCTAGTTTTTATATCTGTCATGGACTTCAGCAGTAAGATCTATACTCCTGCTGGCCATTTCAAAGGTTCTTATGCTTCATATTAGAATTTTACTTTACTTTTCAGAAAATGCTGCAGGAAAAGGACAGCAGGTGGTGTGGTGGGTCAGAAGCGTTAATTTTGGAGGGAAGATGTGATTGTTGAAGTCCACCAAAAAAATATAGAAAGATAGTGGATGATTCAGCCCAACAATGTCACCTAAAACTAAAAGATCTGTCTTGGAAAGGATTGACCCTGTAAAAAAATAATTCTCACTGTATTCATGGAATGTGGAATATGAAATGCCAGGCAAATGATTGGTCACATACCAGATTTTGAGAGTTCATCATGAGACCCTGAACTACCAACATCCCCCATTGGGTCCCATTCCAGATCAATGGCAAGGGCTGATTTGGCAGGGGGAAGAATAGGTAGACCAGGAACTTCCTCATCTTCAAAGTCAAGGTCAAGGAACACATCAGAAGACCCAGATGATACATGTTCAAAGCCACTATCGAGTACATCATCTTCAAAGACCTTTACGGAAAATGTAGAAATTGTAATTGTTATGTGACCCATGGTTAGATGATATGAAACTATATCGCATTTCCATAACCAAGTAGGTAAAAACGTGAAATAACATGACAAAAATGTAATGTTACCAACGTTACCAATACAAATGTGTTAATATTCAAGTAAAGCCAAAGAAAGCATTTTAAGAAGATACAAAGAAACAGCAGACCCATTTAATGACAGCTTCAACAATTTCAACTAAAGCTATTAGTTGTCACACTAAGGCGTGACAGGTTGAAACAAATTATGTCTTAAAGAACATAATAATACAACCAAATATATAGCGAGGCAGATGTCTCTCTATATATTTGGTTGGATTATTGTGTATTTGAACTCAAAGGGGGTACGCCCCAAAAACGCATTCGTTCATAAAGTATTTCGGATGTCTTGGGATGTGGATGTTTTCTTTGTGACATGTATGCAATCACATGGGCTTTGTGAGTAGTATTTTATCTATTCATACATTTTATTAATAAAACGTACTTCTTGATGACAAGGTGCTAGCCTTGTGTTTTTCTTTTTTTAGTCAAGTACACTACGTATGCTATATTCCTTATTCTTTTATTTAAAACTTTCTACAAATTACTAAGGGTTCCTCTGGGATAAAAAGCTTGAGATAAGCTGACCTCAACAACAAAAAGTAAGCAACCTCAGCACCTGCTCTAACATGTTTTGCCATATTAGTACAATAATCCAACCATATTAATATTATCGCTTGACAAACATAATCACTCAGGTGTTAGGGTTCCCAAGAAGATAAGATGTTCATTGCACCATCCAGTCATGTTACATGAAAACTATCAGGGCTAGTCACCAAAGGGTGAAGAGTTTGGAGAAGACAGGAGCAGTGAACAATCTAGGACAACATAGCTGAACTGGAAACATTCTCCAATTCAGCTCACTTTCCCTTTCAGCTATGTTGTCCTAGATTGTTCACTGCTCCTGCTGTCTCCCTACTCTTCACCATTTGGTGAATAATGCTGTATATGTCTATGGGCTTTAAGTAGTCAGCTTTTTGAAGATAGTACAAAATAGCTCCCCGGAACACTTTCGTACTACTACTCAGGCTGAAAACCGAGGTTTTAGTTACATACATCTGCAGATATATGGGAAAGCCTCACTGCTGTGTAAAGGCACCTCTGATAAGTGTGTTTCCTAACTCTACACTATCTGAGCTTTTTGAAGCTGCTTAGAGTTGTTACCCTGAAAAAAGTCAGGGCTTGCGATGTCTGCAAACTGCACAAACCCCAAATGTGCATTGTTATGTATTGAACTTTGTTGTTTATGACCATTTGGAGGTTGGAGTTTCAAACTGCCGTCAATTGGCATGTTTAGCATTCAATCTCTATTATGCATTTGGAAAACAAATCTAATTGTCACTATATGAACAAGCATGTTGTTGCACAACTATGCTTTTCCTATTCATGCTCTGAAGCAGTCCCATTGTTTGCTAATTTTCTATAGTGTGTGTGAACTGTCAGTCTGGTTCCTCCCAGTACAGGACGTAAGCATATATACTTACCAGCTTGGTGCTCACAAGCCGTTTCTGCAGTCGAGAGAGGCGGATGAATATCTCCTGGCAGTATGAGCCTAGCTCTGTCATCTCCTCCTCCAAAGCCACCGCATCTTGTGGATCACTTTCATATATGAGCTGATCTCCTCGATCTAAGAGACCCTCTACACGCTTCATGTTATTCCATATATCCTCCTGGAAGGCCTGACACAAAATGGTCAGAGTTAAATGACATGCAATATTTTCACCCAATACTGCTGTAGCCCCTTCCGGCCTAAGTGGAGTGGCTACGTAAATTTAGTGTTGCAAGCACTGTAATCAGTCTGGTATCACTCGGTAATTTCTAGGTGTTCTGTTATTGAGGGTGTAGTGGGGTGACCCTGCTAAAGAGTAGCGATCAACCCCAAGCTCAGCTAAAAGATAGGTCAATTACTATAACGGCTTTAAAGCATGACATTAGGTTCCTATTTCTATTCGGACAGCAGAAGTAATAGCTCAAACACCCATCACTAACAGGTAAGGCTGCACTATTATAATCATTTGAGGGTGGATATTTAGATTCTTAAAAATGCCCAAACCTGACTAATTCACTTTAGAGGAACTGTGAAAGGAGACACTGCCACCAAATAAAAAGTTGTAGGTAAAAGCACAGAAAAATCAAGTGTTTTAAATGCTTATTTGCAGTGTTTTTGACTACACCAGTTGAGTCGATTCCCTAGCACAATCCTCTCCCTCCTTACACGTCATAGCCCTCTCCTCTTCTGGGAGTGTATACCTACTCTTTGTGCTGGCCAAGGTCCTTCACAGCTACTTTTAACTCCCTACATAATATTTATGTACCTGCCAGAGGAGGAGTGAAGAGCAATACTATAGAATTTAAATCAATTGACATCTCTGAGTCCTTGAGGCTGCTGATATCACATCCAAGATGGCGAAGCCCAACAGCAGTCTCAGGGCTTTTGGACATCTACATAAAGGAGGCTTTTAGGTAAAAACCACACAAAATATGTTAAATGCTCATATAATCTTATGGGAAGGTTTTTGTTGAAATGAATGTTCTGATGACAGGGTTTCGTTAAGGCTCTAAAATGAGTAATTTGTAGTGCCACTGTACACCTTTCTCTAACATATTCTGTAAATGACATTTAATGGTTCTTAGAAAGATAAGAGGATATTTTGATTTTAGCTAAATAATTCTTAACCAATGCTTTACCTTCAGTTGTTGCATTTTCTCAGTTGAGTTACCATTGTAGATATACTCTACACTGGACAGTTCCATATCCATCTCAGTTAGACACAGCTTCACATCATCTTGATCTGTATCAAATTCCTCTCTTTGCTGGACCTTGGACTGTAAAAAGATGAAATATTAGTCTTTCCCTCAGATTGCTGCAAGTAGAAATTTCATTAAATCTATCTCTGCAAAGGAAAGCTGATGAGATACCTTCAAATTCTGATAGATGCTCTCTGCCTCCTTTTGCAAATGGTCCCAGAAGTCGTTGACTTCCTGCATCCTTCTTCGAAGAGTAGTTGGAAGCAACATCTTGTGAGAAATCTGTGTGATTCTCCAATACTTCCTGTTTAGTGTTTCCAGGTCCAGCAACTTCTCTCGAATTTCCATGAGGAAAACCTGAGATTGACAAGCAGAATGGAAAGAATAGAATGATAAATATGGTGAATTGACAAATGATTGGAAAGGTCTGTAGGCTAGGGCAAATGTTTTTACTTCATATTTTCTCAATGCCATTTTGACTTCTTCATGAAGGGTTCGAGAAGGCTTCTGAAGAGAAGCTGCCGTCTGTGTTATCTGTAGCCAGTCTTCCAGCCGTGAGAGAGAGTCCAGGAACTGTTCACACAGCTGTCTGTCCTGCTGCATACTGCAGGGAAGAGCAAGATGTGGTGAGCAATAGGTGAATTCTATCAACCTGGGGAATATGCAGTGATGATTTATAATAAGGTAGTAGGTTGGGCATCATAGCTGTAACAGGGGGCCAAATTCTGATATTTAAAATGAGGGGTCCACTTACAAATGTAAGAGTTTTGTCATATATTCAGTAAATTTAAAGATGCATTGTATTAGAAACAATACAAGAAATGAGAGCAAATCCTCCCCTCCCAAAATGAAGGGAAATCCCAGCTAAGCCATAGCCAACTCTTAGGGCCAATGTGCCACGCAGTTTCCCTTCTGCAGATTGACACAGTTCCTGTCACTGTGTCACCTTGAGGAAGGTTCCCTGCACCGCCCTGAAACATTGGCTGTATGATCTATGTCAGTGATTCTCAACCCGTGTAACCTCAGGACCCACATTTGTCCTTGGTCATTAAGTCGTGACCCAAGACGCACTGCAATGGAATGCGCAGCATTGCGGTACCGTGCATTCAGGTGCGGGCAATCAAACTGTGGGTAGTAGGTGTGTTTGGGGTGCCATTCAAATGAATGGCAACGCAACTCACCTCCCACACTAGAACACGTGGTAGGTCTACCCAGTCTCCCTGCCTTACAAGAACTGGAGTGGATCCTCAGCCTGGGGTCCTGTTTGGGCTGCTGTGATGGAGCTCCATCCATATGTGAATTGCTTGTACAGCTCCCTTGTGCGCCCTGTAGAGGTGTCGGGAGCCAGAATGTGATGTCACTCCGGTCCAGACACCTCTATAGGACACCTGAGGGAGCTGTAAGCAATGCACGTATTGGATGGAGCTCTCTCGTGGCCATAGCCCCATCCCATCCCACTTGAAGCTGACACTCCGGCATATTTTGAATGGCTGCTGAGAACTGACAGTGCTGCACTAGGGGGAGGCTGGGGAACCTCTCAACTAGAAAAGTGGAAGGCATGTGGCAACCCACTGAACACGGGGTTGCGACCCACTTTTGTGACACTATGTAAATTAAATCACTTTGATCCTTTCATTCTTATATGGAGTGCTGTTGACCCTCCTTCCTTTGTGACTCAGAAATGAACTGCACCATCCATTGTTACAACTAAAAGGACCCAATTCTGGTCAGAATGCAGTATGGCGTGCAGTTTTGAATTATACTATTTGAAACATATGCAGCTCCCCAATTTTTGTTGTATGTATACAGTCTATTTTCAAAAACATTTGTGGATAAAGAGAGAGAAGTATATTGTGCTACTCACTGGACCTTATCTTCCACTGATCCCTTGCATATTTCACATTTACTTTCCATTCCCTTTTGATGATCAGATGTTCTTGGGGAGCAATCACAGACAAGGGGATAACTTTGGTGTTTGGTTGACGAGAAAGAAGAGAAATCATGTCTGTCACCAATGGTGTCTGATATGCCAGAACAGGAATAAACAACGTCCAGTTCAAGGGGCTCATGAGAATGAAGACTCAGAGGGAAGACTGGAGTGACATTATACTGAGAATAAGTGAAGTAACTATTAGTGAGATCACCACAAAAGTGTGTGGTTGTAGAATCTGTAGTAGAACTAATTTCAGTATGAAAGATATGATTGCTAAGGGAAGTAACATATGTTGGCTGATCCATGAAAGCCTCAGAAGAAGTTTCCACACATGGAGGAGGTAAAAAAAAGGATGCAGACATTCTAGATGAAGAACAGTCAGGATTATTTGGATCTAACGAAGTACCCATGGTTTCCTTATAAACAGATATGATACATGGGCAACTTCACCAACTTGTGCACTGTGAGTGCTGGAAGGATACACCAATAGGCAACACTGGAGCTAGAAAAGATGTTAACTTGGGCCATAGAGCCACATATGCCACAACAGTTAAGGTAGGAGATGCTTGGATGGCGGAAATGCACATGTACACATAGGAAAGGGATTCCAACTAGGGATGTGCAGGAGAAGTAATTAGGTACTAAGATAGGTAGTAAGATACAGAGCGTTAGTAAAATTTTTCATTTAGTGAAACATATGATTTAGATTCTGAGTAATGGTCAGTTGTTTGGGAGTAGCGTTTTGGTAATAGTGCAGCCAGCTAGGTGTTATTACAGGAAGAGCCTGGAAGACACGTTTCACAATAGTCAGGTCAACATTCTCTAGGATTGAAGAGTATCTGCCAGATCGACCAGTTAAGAAATAAGTCCAAGCAGTTTGAGATATAATGGAACAGTTTTAGAGATTGTGGAACAGTTCAGGTACAATACAGAGGAGCAGTCAGCAGCAGTGCTGGGTAAACATCATGTAGGACATGAAAAGATTGGTCGTGAAGCAAATGGTAGTGTTATGGGAAGTAGTCCAGATTGTACAATGGAGAGCAAGTCATGAAGATCATATCCTCTTCATCATCAAAACTCCAAGGCAATCGGTGCCCCTAAAAGAGATAAAAGGGAATTGAATTGAAAACAATCTATCAGCATTAATAAAACAAAAATGTAGCAGCTCTGCAATTTATCTCACTGAAACAAGCATATATAGATTGTTAGTATATCGTTTGTGATGTTACATCGAAGGAGTGGTAACTCCCAGAAGACAATAAAAAACATCCTGTATGTTGTTAGTTTATGGGATCATATGGGTGTGACAAAACACTGTGGCATCAGGCATTATATTTTCTAGCATGCTTTGAAATCTCTGCATATAGTGCTATTCGTATTGCAAGTCAAGGTGCGAATATTGTCTGGAGGCGGTGGAGCCATCTGAGGAGCTGTATGTGGTGAAGGTCCCACCTTTCCACCTTACCTCAAGGCTCCTGTTAAGGAAAGCATTCGGGGGTCAAAATGGGGAGTGTTTCCCCCCCCAGAGCCCATACTAGCAGAGCCTGCTATAATTTGGGTTTGTGGGATTACTACATGGCTATATTACTATGTGAATATAGTAGTGAAAGTATTTTAGGGTGTATGTCAAGGCAAAATGTAAAAAAATGAACTCTAATACATACACATTACCCTATTTATTATCTCTCTGAAGATCCTGCAAAAACAAAAAAAACCTGTTGTTTGCCAGAAATGTATTCAAATGTATAATTGCCATGATTATATATGCAGCTACTATACAGCATGCATTCCGCCTGTAATTGTCCCACTGTATCTACCTGGATTTCACTTACTTCATATGGAGATATATGATAACCTTGTACCAAGTTATCCTTTATGATCTAGACATGTAAGCCGGCAAAAAAAATTGTTTCAGATTTTAAATTTTTTGTCTTTTGGGATTCGGTACCGAAAGTCAATTTGTTTCGGTATTTGGATTTGTCTGAATCCAAAATTTTCATTAATTTTGGATGAGTTAACAGAGAAAGTGCTCCCATCTGCCTGGCTGTAATGTCTAATAGGTCTGTGTAAATCTCAGAACTGAATGGGCAGATGTGGCAGGTACAACAGCTCCCATTTTTCATCTTTGTATTTAGCTGTATGTCTGGAGTCTTTAACTCCAATCTGAAGACACTGAAAGTCCATTCTGGTTATTTTCTCAAAGCTCTGGGCTGAGTAACATTCAGAACGGGAAGTATAATTATTCCTATTTCCCCCCTGCAATTAGAGAAAGGCACAGTACAGAAATAATTTGTAGATGTGCTTAGAGTCATACGTATTATATATATTTATATTCAGCATATTATGTCTTTATTGTAATAATCCACTGCCACCACCACCCACTTAAAGTGCACCTGTCATATACACCCTGTACATGTAAATATTCAGTAATTATAACAAACATTAAAAGGAGAACTGTATGCAAGACATAAACTACCAAGGTTATCTGTACTTAGAACATATTTGTCTCATCATACATATTTATTACTTCATTTTGTGTTTTGCCTGGGGTTCTACTAGAACTCCTGGAAAATTGCTGTTTAACCAAAACATGGGGAATGGGAACAATTGGGCAACTTTGACTGTGGTGCCAGACATGGTGGTTACATCATCTCAGAAATTTCAGACCTCCTGGGACTTTAACACACTGCAGTCTCACAGACATTAGTGTAAAAAAACAAAAAACATCCAGTGAGCAGAAACTCTGTAGAAAAACACCTTGTCAAAGTAACTACTTATTACAGCAGTGGTGAACAAATGGGCACCGAGGAACACAGAAAACATGGAAGATAGGCTCCAGTAGAAGATGAAAGCAGGTTCCACTTCTGTTCACCAAAACTGAACAGCTAAAGACTAAAAAAAGTGGTTTGACAGATATTTATTTCTGATGCATCATACAGGTGGCAGGGTCAAAGTTTGGCATATACAACACAATCCTTTGGGATAAGAAGCAACAGCATGTAAGGGCCATTATGGGATAATGCTAAGGACCTGCTCTGGTCGTTGGTATTGGAGTACTTTGTCACTTCCGATGCCTGGACTGGCGATATATAATGAGTAGTGATGAGCTTATTGCAAACCCAGTTCACCTAAATTCGCGCATGCCCACTCAATACTGTGACCGGTACCCCTCCCTCCCAGCCCAATTAGTGGTGGCAGTTGCAACTGGGGCTTTCCCCGGCCATTTGTGACATATAGCTGTGGGGAAGGAAATGCTCCTGCCGCAACTGATTGGGTCCAGAGGGAGGAGTGTCTTGCACAGTTTTCTGAGTTTTGGGGGACTAAGAGCTTCCCTTTGGTAGGAGCAGGGCTGCCCTGGCTGACGAAGTTGGGAGGGGGGGCAAGTGACAAGGAGTAATTAATCTCAAGGATGAACGAAATATTAGAACAGAAAAAGAAACTGCGTTGACACGTTTGACTTGTTTGCCTTGACAAAAACTTGTTTAAATGTTGTGTTTTCAATGGACATCCCGGTTATATGGAAGACCATGTTTTTGCTTAGTAAAGTGTTCTAAAAAAGTAAGCGCAATCGAGTGTGACTTTTCCTTCCTTCCTAAGGGGACTGAAGAAGATCTGAGAACCACACAGACAGGCCGGGAGCTATGGAACGAAGTGTAATAAGCAAAAGGCCTACATAACAAGGGTGGGAAGGGGGAACACGGGCCTGAGAAAAGGGTTAAAGAAAAGGAGAAGTTAATTAGAGGAGGGATACTCACGGGATTGGAGGAGAAGGCCTTACAGGATGGGGCTTCGGAGAGTATCCGGGACGGAGGAGTTCCAGGAGCCAGCGTGACCAGGAGAAGGAACGGACTTAAAGGTATGGTTTTATTGGTGTCAAAGTTTGTCGCAACACTATGGCGGTTTGGATCCTTGAAGGCATTTGTCTGGGTTGGATAATTTGATGGGGGGACCCATCGGTGGTGTGGGTGGCCTTCTGTGCCGGTAAGGTCAAACGTTATGACCTGGTAATAGGGAGCCACGGTGGGTCTGCGGGCAATCTAATTATGTCCCCTAGGCAGTGTATGGCGGCTGGGGTCATTCCGGTTTAAGAAAGGTGCCCGCAGACACTGGTCCGATTTTGGATAGTTATAGTGTCTTCAAGGACCTTGAAACCTAGCAATTCCTACTGTACGGTTATTTGGTTATTGTTGTTTTTGTTGTTATTTATAAGAGTTATTTATGAAGTTTTGTAATAAAAGGCTGCTGTGGCCATTTATACTCCAGCCCTGGTGTAGTGTGTTAATTGGAAGGAAGGGGATGGGGAATCGAAGGTAAAGGGGGTGGTTGGCAGTAAAAGGGGGACCTCTGAGCTACCTTAGTCATGTACAAAAAAGAGGTAGGTCATATCCTATGGCAAGAGTGGAAGTGGTGCGGGTTGACTAGGCTTCTGGTACATCCTAGTATCTGACAGCTTGTGAATGATGACTTACACATTCACTGATAGGCTATGTATGGTTTGGGACAGACCAAACTAAGGAGGAAAGGGGAATTTGGTTCCAAATGAGAGACAGTCCCTCCAAATGAGGAACAGTTAGGAGGTATGGTAGGTAGGTGAAGTCTCGAAGTCTTAGTACTGGGTAAGTCAAGTAACCTCCCACCACTTTGGCTCAGGCAGTTAGTGTGCCCCATAGCAAGCATGGCCATGCAGCCAGAAATCTAAAGAAACTGCTTGAAGTTATCAAGTTAGCACAGAGCAAAGTCTACAAAGAAAGGTTCCATCACAGTGTCCATAGCACAAATAATTCAGGATGTTTTAAAGGTAAAATGAGCCCTGCCCTGTACTAGAAAGGTGTAACGAATAAAGCGGCCACTGACTGTGTAAATATATATATATGTACAGTGTATGTACATACACACCCTATATGCAATGAAGGTTTGGTTTAAAACAACCCCTGACCCTTCAAAGGTTGTCCATCAGACCATCATGCCTGGAA